AACACTCAAAAGAATAAGTCTCTGAAATTGATACAGTGTTTATATTTCTTCAAATTAAAAAGTCTTAACACTGAAAAGCTTCTAAAGGACTTTTATAACTGTGACTGGTTAAGATTTTGTATGCTTTTCCTGAGTCATCAAAATATGGTAAAAATTATTTCCCTCAATACTATCTTTGAGAAATGACAATTAATAGGATTATATTTTTACTGCAATTTCTATAGGACACATTTTCACTATTTGTAATTTTTTAAACTTTTTAGTCTAAGAGATTTAAAGAAATATACTAAGTAAAATTCTGAAATATCTTTCTTGATATGTCTATTACATTTAAGGTCTGCCTATCTCAAGTATAGGACTGGAAGTTACGTGACCTGAAGCGATAACCCAACCCTCCTAAGTCAATCAGAATTTAACACCACCTTCAGCAGAGTCAGAAACTCAACCTTAGATCTGCTTCATATGTCTGCCCACTGACCTGGGTGACACTTGGGAAATGTAGATTCCTTGTGGGTTTTTCTTCCCCTGGTTGATGTTTTCTGTGTGGATTGCAGTTTTTGAGGCAGGCTTTCCCACGGGAATTTAAATACCTAGGACCCTGATCATCTGTGACTGGAATACTATACCACAGTTTTCAGAGAAATAAAAAATATATGGACATTACTGCATTTTAGAGAGGACTTGTCCTGAAGAGGCTACTACTTACAGGCCTTCTTGGAATGTGGTAGATGGGGGGCTTCTGTTTTAAGTGCTAGGCCATATTGTAAACCACTTTGTCTTACTTATACTGTAAAACTGCCATTGAAAGCAGTCATTAAAAATGAACTTGATCATACCAATGCAGGCTGAGAATATGGCTTCACAAATAATTTACCACAAAAGAGGGTATACTGTGAACTAAGCATCTGTTAGTTGTTAGGTAGTAACAGTTTGCATGCATGCGTTTGTCTGCAGCAAATATGAGATTATGTTAAGGTATCTTTGCTGTCAACAAACAGGGCTTGCTTGTTCATCTGCCCATACAAGGTCTGTAAGTTGCTAGGAAGACAGCAATCTTCAACAGGGATTTGAGTCCAAATCCTGTGTATGCCAGGTGAGTGCAGAACAGGCTAAATTACTGGTAGCTCTGACTTTTCCCAATTACTAGAAATTCAGTTTTGGGCATGGAGAAGATTTCTTTTTGTTGAAACTTATAAAGATACTATAAAAGTGATGTTGAATTATGCTATTCCATTTAGGGAAAAAAAATAAAAGAGGAAAAAAAATTCTGAACAAGATGTGGTCACACTCAGCAAATGCCTCCAAGTGTAACTGTCAAGGAGATATGTCAGACAATACAGCTGAAGGCATATGTGAACCCCCTTTGTAAGACTTTATCAAAAACAAAGCAATAAAAGCCAGGCAATTCTGTAGTGTCGAACTATACAGTTCAACCACCATTAAATTAAGCAAAATTAAAAACAGCAATAATAAAAATGGGAATTGGTTCCCAAAGACTGAGTGGTTCCTGCTGTGGTTTGAATTCAGACAAAAAGCTTCTTTCCCCGTCTTCAAATCTATATAGTCTAAGTGGGTATCCTGCTGGAAACTTTTAGTAAAATTATCGTTCTCACTGGGAGGCCATTCACTGTTATTAAAATATAATAAAACCTCACAATCCACCATTTAGCTCCTCAGAAAATCTCTTTCCAGTTCTCAGACATGGAAAATTCATGAAGTAATCTCTAATAATTTCACTACAGCGTATTTAGGAAATACATTTTCTCTGCATGCAGTAATGAGTTACAAAGTGTTATAAATAGATGAAACTAAAACATAGCCTCCAAATAAAAGAAATAGTCATTTAATGTTGTCTCTCCCTTGTTTTTACAACCACAGTTACTCACTTGGAAAAAAAAAAACAACCAACATGCAAGCTCTACATTAACAGATAAAAAGCAAGTATTATTATGACTTCAAGATACTTCCTTATACTTAATTTCTGCAGTAACAACTGAAGAGCAGACTGGTAGCAGCTGTGCTGACAACATGTCTTAGCTACAATTAATCACACAGTTCCCTGTTCTGTGTTTGCCTATTGGCTCTTAACAGAAAGCAGTGCTTAAAATTTCAGGCAGACCCAACCAACATTGCCTCTGAGTAGGTACTGTGGTGCTGTATTTTGTGCATGAGTCTGGGCTGTGTGGAAACCTAAGTCCCAGGTCTTTAAGCTCTAGAAGCTTGCCTAAAGTACAGAAGAAAAAAACAACCCTGGACTTTTTGTGCTATGTTAAATGAATTTGCAAGAACAGAATTATGTGCTTAAGTCTGGTCTCTCTAACTCGGGAGGGGTATTGAAAACACCATGGCACCAATACAGGGTGTCATGGTTTAAACCCAGGCAGCCACCAAGGCCCACACAGCCACTCCCTCTTCTGTGGGACAGAGGAGAGAATTGGAAGGGTAAAAGCTGGAAAACTCACGGTTTGAGATAAAGACAGTTTAACAAGTAAAGCAAATGCCATGTGCACAAGCAAAGTGAAAGAAGGCATTAATTCACAGCTTCCCATGGACAGGTAGGTGGGACATGGACAATTACTTGGGATGACAAACACCATCACTCCAAACATTCCCCCCCCTTTCTCTCACTTTATATACTTGGCATGATGTCAGATATGGTCTGTAATATTCCTGTCTGTGTCTCCTTCCATCTTCCCACACACTCCCAACTTCCTTGCCAGTGTGGCAGTATGCAATGCAGAAAACACTTGGCGCTGCTCGGCAATAACAAAAACATCTCTTATTATCATCAATCCTAAACACAGCTCCATACCAGCCACTGTGACGAAAATTATCTCTACCCCAATCAAAACCAGTATCATGGCTAAGCTTCGCGAAAGAAGATTTGGGAAGGGCTCTACCCACATTTGTTACAAGCGCGCTGGTGACTAAAAAGGCCAATACGAGATAGACACGAAAGTTGCAAAAGGCACAGCAGAAGGACTCCTTAGGTGGTACATTCTGCAAGACGTGATTCTTTCTGCGTTGTCTTTTCTCCTCAAGAGTGATTTTTCCTCAAGAGTGATAAACCAGTATACAGGACAAACAATTTGGGGTCTTTCTGATGTTCCATGGAGTAAGGAACTCTACTGGATCACTGATCTGAGGCCACCTGAAAACAGAACAGATTTGATGCAGTTGAGTTAAACCTCATCTGAAACACAACTCCTACTCCCAACTTCAACCCACAACCCCGAGGCCCTAACACTGAACCCTACCACCATAACTCTAAACTGTAAAGGCCATAACCCTAATCCTAATGACCCTAACTTTAACTCTAAACTCAACCCTAACCTCTCACCCCAAACCTAACCCCCAACCTTAAAACCTAATAGGAGCCACTTTGGACCAAGATTTCACTGCAGGCATGAGCAAGCATGAAAAAATCAGAACTAACCCCACTACCCACTGCCTGTTCAAGTAACATCACAAGAAGGTGTTCACAGTCCTTTAAAACTCTCAGTCATATCCTACGACTCACAAGGAATGCCTAGGTGGGGCTGGACAGTAGTGCAGGTTTTCTGGATTCATTCCCAACAGTGTTACCAGGGTACACTTAAACAATGAGGGCTAATTTCAAAGTCTGAAGGAAAAGGCACCTTGTTGCCTAATGAAGAGAGGAGTTGGAGGTTTGGTGTAACCAGAAAGAGGATTGCTTTTTGGAGTTGAAATCATCTATCCATCTATGTTTTAGATGTGTTTACAACTTACAAATCATTAAACTGCAAGGATGGACATATGGCGAGAAATTGACTGGACTTTCTTTCATTTGACCTAAAAGAAACATCTAAGTAAAAAGCAGTCTCCTAGCTGAGCCATGTTTTATGTTCTAGAAAGATGGGTTATTCATTCAGACTCCAAACCAGAATTGTATCTGAACAACGAAGTGAATTTAGAACGTGAACATAGGTTCAGGTTCAGGAAGACAAGGACTTCATTCTCGCAGGATGGACAAATCAAGACAAAAAGGAGACACAGCTGTATGCATTTCTTACCTCAGGCTATTCAGGCATGTTTCTCCATTTAAGTAGTTTCTTATACCTTTTCTGGACTCTCAACTTTTTCTCCCTTTTTCTTAATTGGACTAGGTATAGTTGCTTCCATCTCTCCCAGCTGCCAATCCCTTAATCATTTCACCCTCATCCTTCTTCTATATCTACTTTTTCTTCTTTCTTTCTCTTCTGTTAGTTTTCTAGTGTTTTCTAACCCTTATTTCTGTTCCCTATTTTTTCTGTTCATCCCAATTGCAAAATATACAGGTTGGCTATTTTTCCTAAGGGCAAATTGTCTTGAGACTGAATGAAAAGGCTATGGTAAATAGTGCAGCTCATCATTACCAAATTTCACACATACAGTCCCTAGGAAGGAAGACAATAGTCATTTTGATTTAAAGTAGTGAGGTTCTACCCCTCCTGAAAGGCATAGTAGCTGAGAGCCATCCTGTATTAGCATAATATTAGCATTTTTATAACGAATGTTTGTGGGACTTTTGAAATATCCTATGTCACAAAAGGAAGGAGAAGATCATGACAACTGACAATGTCTTCTTTTAGATTGGCCCCTACTTGCACGATTACTCTGCTTGAAATGTGGACATAGTTTATATTTTACTAGAATATAAAAGTGTGCATGGATCAGAGAAATTTGCAATGCAATAAACGCAATGTTGTATGCGCCAAAATTAACATTTTTCCTTTCTGCTACACTGCAACTATATCTGGGCACCTGTGCACTGAGTAAATACACTACTGTACAAAAGAATATAAAACAGAGAATTTGATTTCATTGGGATTTAGCTCTAACACTTTCTTTGGAATTGCTGTAAAACTTCTTCTGGAGAAAAATATGCTCTCTTCCTGACACAGGCACACAAGAAATTGATGCAGCCCAGTGGGAAATAAGGGTTCTACCACTCTGGAGTTAGAGGATGAAATGGCCCTTTATTGAAAGGCAGCGCTGGCTTATATAAGGGAAGGATGGAAGGTGCTGGAAGGGTAGGTGGAGCTAGGGAGGAGCATGCTAATAGGATACATATTAGGAAAGTAGGGGTTGGACATAACCATAAATGGAAAGGAATAATCATCAATTACCTAGGCAGCCTCATCTCCTCGGATGGTAAGATTGACGGGGAGATAGACAACAGGTTAGCAAATGGAAACAACAGGTTAGCCATTTAAGGAAAGACTGCAATGCAGCACTGAACAGCCAATAAGGAAAAAGGGGAATAACAGGGAATACAGAACAATGGGGATTTTTATGATAATTGGAAAATAGGGTAAAACGGGGGGTAGAAATACAATGTGCTTAAAACATAAACTTGGGTATAGAATCACAACAGTCCAAGCAGTCATTTAAATGTGCTAAAGGCATTGTTTTTGGGAGTCCCGCAGATCTCCTTGCAGACATCTATTTCTGTTTTCCACATTTCATAATTGAACTTCTCTTGGTCTCCCACAAGAAATGGCTGAGAAATTCAGGTAAGCATATCTTCACTGTCTCCATACTATTCATCCTGTGGTTGTTCTGCAAGGCAATTGCAAACACCAAGTCATCATTGGATGTTAGACACAAAAATGAAAGGGGAGGTGAATTTGAATATGGATTCTGACATGCATTTTGTGTCTCTGAACATCAAGAGAAATTTAATTACCACCAACCTCCACCTATATGGTGGAGTAACTATACAAAACTGCAGCTCAGTGCACAATCTTTAATTCTGTTGACTATAAAGGTGAAGTATTTGAAATGCTGCTATTTGGAATGCCAGTATTGCTAAAAATGTAATATTTGACTTAGATAATATTTCAAAGAGGAATACACTTTAATGAAAGTATGTATAGATTATGATAAACAGAAGCATAGAATATATTCAAATTTGCAATTCTGCAAAGTTTTAGTGTTCTGTGCACGTTAACTCTCAGTAACAATGGGGATGTCCGGTGCCTTTTCTTGAGCCATCAGTGAAAATACTGGAGGATACTGATCTCTGCATGACAACAGATCTGAGTAGCAGTAGTACTTAAAAATTTGACAAAGTATTATTCATTATTTTAAGTAGGTTTTTTTAACAAAAAAATTCAAATAGTTAATACTATTAAATACAGAATTAAAATTGTTAAGCAAATGCAAGAAGGGAGCATCAACCAAGCCTATTCCTGAAACAAAAGCATGTATAAACTTATGACCATTCCACAACGTTGATTCAGCATTTTGCTAAAAAATACTATATAGGAATCAGCTATATTTGCTGTGATTTGAGCAGATTTGAATTAAAATTATACATTAAGAAAATAGTTAGAAGGGAGATGAAAAATTTATTTCATCCATCCTTCCTCCTTTAGTTAAAAATCCAGAGATTTGTGCAACTTATTCCTAAAGACTACTAGTGATGCAAATGCTACAGCCTCCCCAGCAAACCTCTTCTAGAGTTTCTCTATCCTCAGTGATAAAAAAAGACTGAAGTAATTCAGAAGATATTTCTGGGCACCCACAAACAACATGAAATACTCTTAATGCAAAAAGGACTTTATATGGAAATATGCACTAACAAATGTAAATGTTTCAAGTTTCTAGGTACTTTCTTCAGCATGAAATGCAGCCTTTCAAGAACTCTTTGCCGTAGGAACTAATTAGCACTCTGAAATTTGAAATGCTTAAATGCATGATTATTATTCACATTTTTGCTCCTCCAGTAGTCTTCATGAAAGAAATTTTACTGTCATCACCAGCTGCCATGAAATAGTATTTACTGAACATGTTTCTGGGTTCACAGAGCTAAACCATTCCTCCAATTTATGTGAAATAAACCATACTATTTGATATAATTGTCATTCATTATTTAAATATCATTAGACCACATGAGAGGAAATAATTTCAAGGCATAATTTAGATTGCCTGTTATAGAGTTATGAAGTGCTGTTGATGATGCATTAAAGAAAGATAATTAAAGGAATTGGTGAAGTACTAGATGAATGTTTGAACTCTCTGTACAGTAAACTCATTTTGTGTAATAATAAATTTAATCATTACAAATGAAATGTACCAAATGAAATGTATACACCTATACACTATATGTGTCTGCCTGTTACTTGAGTACATTACAGAGATTATATGTAAGACTATATCAGGAATAATGCCCTAAGAGAGGACAGAGCAGCTAAGCGAGGGATCTTCCTCACTGCAATAACAGCTGTAAGGTTATTCCTGAATTAAAACTTGGTACTGATTTTGCAGAGCAATGAAGAAATTAGGAACTTGCCCTGGATCCACTTTTAAGCAACTCCTGTGACTCTGGGACCCTGCTATGCAGATAATCTCAGAGCTTAGATTAGCACGCACAGAAGGTGAAGACGCTGAATCACTGCAGTGGATGATCTGGGTTCCCTCAGGATCCCACATCTGCTTTTGACCCAGAAGTCTGTTTTCATGATAGTAGAAGGACAGGCATGGGAACAGCACGAATTTTCAGGAAAATGCCACAGGCTATTGAACACACTGTGCTTTTGGAGAAGTGCTTTTCTCCATATTTTAATCAAGCGTAGATAGTTTTGCTTTCCAGTAACTGAATAAAAGTTTTAGAGTCTTGATGGTTTGGAGCTTGAAGTCAACTTTTTTGGCCCCTACAGGTGATGGAGGTCACATTCAGTCAGACTGGGTGCAACCAGAGTGAGCAGAGAAAGAAAAGTGCACTGCTGGGCAAGGCACCTCTTGACCACCATCGCCATCAGTTCTCAAGTCCCTTGGATGCAGGCAGAGATTCCTTGTGTGGGAAGAGGATTAGCTCCTAGGAAGCAACAGTGGAGCTGGGTTTTAATCTTCAGGGAGGAGGAAGTGCAGCAGAAGGTGGAGAAGAAGAAGGTGAAGGCACACTGCTTTCTGAATGTGCACATGGCCTGGCAAAGGGCTGCTGTAGCTGACAGTGTAAGCTGCCATTGGTAGCTGTGGGTGGAACCCAGCAAAATCACCTCTGAAGGGAGGTGAATTTGGGATCCTTTGTATCCCAAATGATCCTCATTTTCAACACCTACTGATGATGAGTCCATCTAACTACAAAAATAATCTAATATATAAAAATTATTTAATGTATAAAAAAGCGTATTGCAGACACTCAACAGGGTTAACAACACTGATGGAATCCGAAGTGTTCAGCTGAACATGTGATGCATTTTTACAGTAGTATTAAACAGAGTTTTGCATTGAATCATTTTTTTTCTAGAAAAGAATGTATGTCAGCAATTATAGTATAATTATATTATAATTTGAATTTCACTATCACAGATGAAATGGGCTTTTCTCCTTTTGCTGCTAATGCCTTTTAGAGGTCACTTTCTGACACTAGGTCATCAGAGCCATAGCAGAGAAAAGCATAGAAAGACCAGCTTGATCTGGTTTGTGTGGAAGGAAATTGCAGTTTCCATTCCATTCCACTGAAGCTCAAGTAAACCCTTCCTACTACACAAAACTGATTTTCAGAACGTAACAACTATTAGCAGCAACTTCTCTAACCTTTTTTCACTTCTAATGCCTGTGAGGGAATACTCTCTTGGGATGGAAAAATCTGCACATCACCAAATTTGCTTGCATCTTTCTGTGAAATGTCTGTTACTGAACAGTTCTGGACACAAGATATCAGAGCAAATAGAGCCAGGGAAGGTTCTGTCATCCCATGAGCTCCCGCTCTTAACCCAAGCCAAGAAAAGGAAGTCACACTAGATTTGTCACAAACCCCTCCTGGATCCCCGTGGGAGAAAAGTGATGTTGGTCTTGCCTTCTAAACAAACGCAAACTTGAGAGCTGTGGGCAGCTCCCTGTCACAGAGCACAAGCATAGTTCCAGGGCAGCCTAGTCAGTTTGAAGAGAGCAAAACAATACTGAGAAAAGCGGATATAGCTAATAATTTATTTTTTTCAGGTTGCATTATGCTTTTTTAAGATCTTCTTGTTTCGTTTCGGTTTGGGGTTCGGGGGGTTTTTTGTGAGTTGCAGAGAAACCGCCCTAGCAGAAGTTGGGAAAATAATGGATATGTTGAGACCGCGTGGGTGAAACAGGACGCCGGGGAACGGGGCGCGGGCGGCGGATTTGGCTCCGGAACTCCTGACAGGGAGTGTGCGGGGGCCACGTCGCTCCCCTCCCGCATGCCCACCTTCTCCTGTCGCGGCTGGGGCAGCTGCCAAGGCGGGCTCCCTCCAGTGCCCTTTTCAACCTCCAACCGTCCATTGGGGCAGAGAGGGGAAAAAAAATTAAAATTAACAAAAACCGTTCCTTTCCATCGGCACCGCGTTGGCGCTCCTCCGCTCGAACTTTCTGACGCCCCACAGGCCATCGGCGTACTCCCGCCATGTGCCAGGGTCGGAAGCCGCGCCTCCCCCAAACACAGCTACCCGGTTGTACTCACCATCGCTCCCCGGACCCGCGGGTGCCGTCTGTTCGCCGCTCCCAAGGAACCGCCCCCGCCGGGCGCGCATTGGCCGCGCTCCGCCCGCGCCCGCCCCGCCGAGCCGGGGGCGGCACCGGCCGCGCCCCCGGGGCCGAGCGGCGCCGCAGCGGAGCCGGACGCGGAGCCGGAGCGGAGCTTTCTTCTGGGCTCGGCGGGCCAGCAGCGGCGACGGCGCGGGCTCGTCTCCCCGGCTCGAGGCGAGCGAGCCGCCGCCTGCACGCCCGGCTGCTGGACAGGGCGAAAGAGAGACAAACTAAACGCCGAACAGCCCCCCAGGCTCTGCGCCCGCCTGGTTTGGTTTTAATTTTTTTTTTCTGCTGTAATTATTTCCAGGGGGAAAAAAAACCCCAGGCATCGCCGTGTTTTTGGCAATTCTTGCTGCATGAGGAGTTGTTTCCCCGCACACCCCTGACAAACAAAGGAAAAGGGGGAGGGGGCCCACGTTTCGCAGAAGACATGCGTTCCGTCAGGAAGAGGTGGACTGTGTGCACCATAAGTCTCCTCCTCATCTTCTATAAGACGAAGGAAATAGCGCGGACCGAGGAGCGCCAAGAGGCACCTCTCGCCGGGTAATTGCGGGGCGCCGCGCCGGGAGGGCTCCCCGAGTGGGCAGCGCGGCCGTGTCGCTGCCCGCCGTCCCCTCCGCGTCCCCGCCGGGGTCGGTAGATGCCCCGGTGCCCTCCGGTCCAGAGCGCCTTGTGCCTCGTTTCCTGCCTTGGGAACCTGTCGGGGAGGTGCGAGTTTGCCGGGGTGCAGGTGACTCCTGCCTCCGTCCTTGGAGTTCTGCCTGGGAGCTCGACATAACTTCAGTGCTCCTCAGGGATGCTTGCACAGGGAGGGTGTGGGTCATTCCGCTTAGCTCCCGAGGTTCCTCCGCTGGAAACTCTGGTCCCTCACTGAAACCGTCCGTTACATGCTTTCCCCCTCCTGCCTGTCTTCGGCTGAAAACAAAAGGCGAAGAGTCCCTTGCCATTTTTCTCTTTGCACCTCAGGTTTCTCTTTGTCGGTCGTTGTGTTTATGTATGTGAATGCCAGTATTCGTCATTCTTCTCCCAACTTGCAGCTATCCTATGGAGACCTTGATTTTTCAGCCAAGCTGGGTTTCTCCTTGGAGGAGTATAAGATTTTGTTTTCACGGGAGTGTTGCATAAATGTTTTGATCGCTTAATGACATCAGCAAAAGCTGAGTAGGGGCTCACGCTTTCTGTTTGCTTTTGCAAGTCGACTAGGGGGGAGAATGCCATTCACAGCAGATTTTCATCTTCTTGTAAGCTCTTGCCTTAATTTGAGGAGTAGGCATAAGGAGGTTCTAAGTACCCGTACAGACCTGGAGGAAGCTGCGGCAACTATAGCCTGCTTAGTCCCCGCTTGGCCCCAGAGTTAAAGACAGAAAGTGCATCCCTCCTCCCTGTTCAGGCAGTCTAGTGCGACAGCAGGGCACAGGCAGCTGGGCGCAGCTGGGCACAGCTGGGCAGCAGTGGCCCCGGATTTCCCGGGAGCAGGGGCTTGCCTCACTTGTGTGTGTGCATTGTTTGCTTCCCATGTTATTCAAGATTTTCACAACTTGCTGGTATCTTTCCATGTTGTTCAGCCTGGGTGTAACCCCAGCTTCTGCCACAAAGCTATCTGTAGACTTAGGAGATGTACAGAAGTTTAAAATTTTGGGGTTATAGGTGTGTGAAAACACACGTGAAAATCAGTGTGTGAGGCAGAATTGTCATTAAAGATACCCATGTTTCTTAGTATGTACTCCTTCCTGTTGGACTAGAGGTAGCTGTTAAAATTATTCAGAAATTACCATATATAAGTTTGCAAAGAAAAAGCCCCCTCCAGCTTACTGCACGTGATTTGACACAATTGAAAAGGTACTAAAATGAACTGATGTTTTAATATTAAATAAAAGAAAATAAGTGTAATTTGTCATAATATGTGTGTTCTTAACAAACACTTTAAAATGCAATGTAGTGTACTTCTGTCAGATGATTTAGTGATATATTTATTTCTTTGTTATCAGTGAGACTTCTTGTACAGCATGATGCTAGTCACTTTCGCTGTTGAAATATCATTTCTCTTCACAACCTGTCATCCCATTCGTTACTGTCTGAAGCAGAAAAAAACTCCGAAGTGTATTGCTACTATCTGCTGCCAGTATTGGTGTTACACTTGCCTTTCTCCAGAACTAGGGGTTCATGACATTTGGTTATTTTTGACTGGCCGTGTGGGCGAGCAAAGTCACTTTTCTGCAGGATGCTTTACTTTCAGAAGTACCAGTGATACAGAACTATGAATGCTCAGGATGGTGCGTTTTATGGTTATCAGGGAAACCTCAGGTAAACTCCAGATATTCCAAAATGGACTATATGCAATTCCAAATTGTATGATAAACCTTAAACCGTGTGCTTCCGTAGCAAAGTTTGCTAGGACAATAATTGCAAAGCACCCCCCGATTCAAATAGACAGTAATGTCCCTTTAAAGGTTAAGCAAGTAATGAAACACGGACGTTGCGTGCAATGCAGTGTTTCTTAAACAGTGTCATCTTCCACTGATATGGAATATGCTTGAAGGAAGTTACTTTATTTAATGAGCTATCTTCAGGAGAAGAGATTGTCTCATGATATTGGTCTGATTGGTTGCCAAGGCAAGGTAGTTCAGAGTGAAGGCTGACACTGTAAGCTGTAAATTGCTGTCACATTATGGCAGCTGTTTCATTTACATGACAGGATTTGCAGTGATTCTAGAAGATACAAAGTAACTCAACTTTATTTCACAGTTATTTACACAATGAAGAGTTACCTGGAGAAATTTTTTTCTTTTTATGTGTTAGTTTATTTAATATTACTTTAAGTGAAAATTAAATAGAACAATGCCAATAAAAGGGAGAGGAGGATGTAAGTGAGCACATTTGTGTTCATAGTAGTACTTTAACACAAAGTGCCTGGGACCTTCTTTTAGCTCATAAGAACATACTTTAACACCGTTTTAATGTACAAGCTATATAGCTCACTACAGATGTAAATTGTGAATATGGAAGAAAATGACATTTCAAATGCTATGGCGCTTTAAGTGTTGGCAATGTATTTTGTTGTTGTCAACTATCTCATGTTCAAGTGTCTGCTAAATAATATTTAACCCAGAATAAACTAAAGACATCTCAGTACCTTTAGACTGAGAACTTTACTTGGATGTATTTTGGTAATCTTCTTTTAGATGCGTGCACTCAATGCATCTAGAAAATATATGCAGGAGTATAGATGTAATAAATATTATTACAACCATTATGGAAAAATTTTAGGGAATAAAAAAATTTAATATAGCAAAAAGTATAAATTACATTCTCATTAATAATTTAGGGACTTGTGCAGCATCCTCCCGTGCTCTCAAATTAGTGGTATTTAGATAATTTGCCGCAGGTCTTGTACCTAAAGTTGCAGGTTTTCGATAGGTGGCAGCCTTACATCTGCATCGGAGAGATGTCAGGGCTGCGGGGTGTTGGTGGAGGGGATGGTGAGGGAGAAAGAGCCGTGAGTAATGCAGGGCTGGTTTTGGTGAAGTGTATAACACCGGTTTGTTACTTATAGAGGCTTTCGCAATGATGGATCTTTTTAGAAATTACTGCATGTTACCAGTTTTCTGAATTTAGCCTAATTAATGTCCCATTGCAGGTTAGCTTGAGTTTAGCCTGCTATATAGTTTACCAGCTATTACTGCTTTATATATCCTGCAGTAATGTTGCTGTAGTTCTTATTGAGGGCTGGGATCCAATTGTTTTAAGAACTTACAGCCACAGGAAAACAAGAGTCAGCAATTGCCTGAAAACCTTACAGTCTCACATCTTTTCCATTTCATTGTTTGAAGGGCTGTGGTCAGAAGTTCTGTTTGCAAGTTATGGTTATTGACAGTATTTCAGAGCATGCTGATTTAACAGAGAAGGAGATTTCTGTATGTTACTGTTCTGTGTATTCCTGTGTTACAAGACATTCTACATGGTATAATGTTAGATTCAACAACTTTGATATATTTATGATTAATAGCTGTGTTTGAACTCAGCTGAACATTGCTCTGGCACCTAAGAGTGGTATGGAAGATAATGGAAACATATGGACATAAAAATGGATTTTATTGCTAACACTCTAAGTCATTCTTGCAGTGTTTTGGATTCTCTGTCCCATTTGTGTGACCCTACTGGCTAATATTTCAACTGATAACATTATGATAGCTCATCAGGTGTTCAGTGGTTCACCGACTACTCACTGTGGTTTTTTATTTTTTAAGGTTACCTTGCCAAAAGTTATGAATATTACAAGACTGATGGACATGATAAGACAATTGGGGTGGTTTGGATGTGTGCATACAAATTTCAGGAAGTGATGGGGAAATTTTGTGGTTTGTGTGCCATTAAATTCCAGAATTTTGTCCATAAAAGTCTTTAAGTATCAACAGGAGGCAAAAAAAATCTATTAGGCCAGTATTGCAGATTTGCAGCAATTGCTGGGCAAAGGCTTGAAAGTTAGCACTTAATTGTTAGTTTAGTACTAGAAATTTGGAACCTAAAAGTGCAGAATCTGCCTCACAAACATAATAAAGTTTCATCCAGGTTCACAATTTGTAGCTTATTGTAGTTTTTTGTACGTCTGTTTTATTACAGATATAAACATATTTAGGCTCTTAAATTGCATATTCAACTCTTAGATATAGCTGTCCCTTAGATTTTTTCACAGTTACAGCTCATTTGCTTTAGAAAGCAGAGAGAGAATTGCTTATTTTTGTGGTGAATAAAAGGATATATTGCTGGTGCTTGGGATGTAAATTACTTAAAACTGGAGTTAGCCTTGGGTGTAACTGTGTCTTTTATATATTGCATTGCAGAGATGGTGAACTGAGTTTGAGCAGATCAATGATCAATAGCTCTGATAAGATAATTCGAAAGGGTGGCTCCTCAATCTTCCAGCATGCTGTAGAAGGTTGGAAAATCAATTCTT